TGATGTCTTTTTATGACAGTGATTTCCCCCAGTATTGCTTTATCTTTTTTGTTTTCGACTTGTGACATTAATAATGTGTCCATTATTTTGCAATATTGCAAACGAGGTGGCACCCGGGCTAATATAAATGAAGGAGGAGAGGCTGTGAATAGAAGATTAACGATTTTATTATTAAATTTTATGAAGAAAAAAATAATAAAACGGAATTGTGATGAAAATGGGTACCACTTCCATAGTAAGTAAAAATTGTATGTGGTAAATAAAATTGAAATTAAGATTTAAAAACGTAATTAAAATTTTGTGGAGCAATCAAATTATAGATTATCCATAGAAATTGCGCCATAATTTTGCAATATCAGCAATGAAGTGAAACTGAGAGCCATGAGAGTTATATTGAATCCGTGATTGCAATTTCACAATTTTCCAAACAAAGTTTATAGACGCTACCAATTGAGGGCGCTCGGGCTCTTCCAAAAATGATTTGAAAATATTTACAAGAAAAAATCATTCTACTCATGTGAAAAAGTATACATCGACTACACTCGAGTAAATTATTAACCACTGGACTTCCTCAAGTATAATCACTAATTACAGGGTGAGATACAAAAAAAAACTGCACCAAAGTCAAACGCCATAATTTTTACACGTTTTTCTTAAATTTTATTGAATGAAAGCAAAAAATGTCAGAAATAGCATCAAATTTTAGAATAAGTTTAGATTTGTTCGAATTGGTGACCTTTGGCACGAATTATGGCCTTCAAACGGCCAATGAAACCGCCACATTCTGCCCGAATGTTGCTCTGTGGTATGTTGGCACATTTCCGGAGAAGTGCTTGCTTGAGGTGGTTGATACTTTGGTATTTTTTAATGCCAACCTTGCTTTCCAAAATACTCCAGACACAATAGACCAACGGATTGGTATTCAGAGATTTTGGTGGACATTATGCGCTGGAAATAAAGCTAGAAATCTCATTTTGTACCCATTCTGAGTCCTGTTGGAATGTCCAAGGTCTGCGTGCCTAAGGTTTTAAAACACCCTCCAGAATATTTTCGCCATAATATTCGGCATTTATTCTGATGCCACGGTCGATTAATACGAGTGGAGAGCGACCATCGGCTGTTATGGCGGCTTGAGTTCTAGTGGCCAACCGAAGGAGCACATTTTCAGCTAACCTCTTTGGCAAGTAAACCCGATCATTTTGTTTGTTTACAAACTGCTGGACAACGAATGTTTTCTCATCGTATCGAAGAACAGCAAATTCGGCAGTTCACCACTTTCGGCCAAGCGAAGCAACTCCTTAGATCTTTTCAGTCTTTCCGTTGCGGTGTAAGTTCTTGCACTTTTTGGAATTTCAAGGGCTTTACCCCGAGCTCATTTTTCAATATTTGTCGAATGGAATATTGCGATATGTTCAGCTCATAAGCCATTTTCTGCGAAGCGGGTTTCCATCAAGTCGCTTCTTTACTTTTCGAACCATTTCTTCTGATGTTGCTGTTTTCTTCCGTCCACTTCCTTGGCGTCAGGATACGCTACCAGTATTACGGTAACGAGCGAAGGTACGAGACACAAAAGATTTATTCACATTTAAATGCTGGAGTGCTCTAACGATAGCCACTTGTGCTTTTCCAGCCAAATATAAAGAAATCACACCATCACGCTTGAATTCTATCACGAATTATTTTTTTTTTTGCTGGAAAATTCTCACCAAAATGCTTTTGTACACTTGTAAACAATATAATGAGCTGTCACTGGAATAATTTTAACAGCTGTCGGACGAGTGGCATAGAAATGACAGCAGTCTGAAGTTGTTTGCAGTTTTTTTCATTTCACCCTGTATATCAGTCTTAGGTCAGAAATGAATTGTTAAATATTCGTCAGCTTCTTCAGAACCTCCCCCATAAAGAGTCAACAGTTTGAATGATCATAACTCAAAGTTGGGGGGTATAAATCTGTCGGTCTGATACTATTTTACTTGTTTATTTATATTTCAAGCCACCAAGCTCTTAGAGGTATCACCTTGAAAAGCACCACCTATATTTCAATGTTAAAATTGTTATTTTCGTGTGATTTAGAGTTTAAAAATAAAGATTTTTTTTTGTTTTTTAAAAATGAGTTTTTATTTGTCATTTCACCCCCGAAAGGAAAAAATAATGTCATTTTTCTTAAATTGAAAATCACACTGAGCGCCATCTGTATTTCAATGAAATTATTTTTTAAGTAATGAATTTGTGTTCACATTTCATACTTTAAATCTTTGACAGATTGGAGGTCATTAAATTATTTTTAAATTTATTTTCTTGTATTTCATTTTTAATCTTCCCTGTTGTTTGTTTTTTAATCTTCTCTAATCGACATCATTTGCCCTAATCTCCTCGAGACAAAGAAATAAAATCAATACATTTTCCCAAAATAAAGCTCTTGTAATTTTTCGGATTTATTTCATTCAATTTCCAGCCTACTTTTCACTCAATTGCCCTGTAAATCCTATGAAAATAAACACAATTTGTTTTGAATTTAGTTGGAAAAGGCGAGACGCAGACAAAGGCAAAGAAGGAGACGAAAACAAAAATAACTTAGAAAAGGAGGAAAAACAATCCTTCACTGATTGTGTTATCTTTTCTAAGACAACAAATTGCCAAAACAAATTCCAATGAAAAAACGTCTCAAAAGAAACGACTGGCAATAAGTAAAGTTTTCCCAGCAACAGAAAAGAGATTCAATGAAGAACAAAAGAAAGAGAGATTGCTTTGTTTACGATTGTCAAAAAAAGGGAGGAAGAGGCGAATATAATTTGGTTTTGAATCTTCGATTTTATTTTATTTACAACTTTTTTGGTTTTTTTATTTAAATCCCAACTATCGGAGAAACATGAATACTGCCACACAAATCCATGTTGTGTAAATGAATAAATCTTGTAACTCACACACTGATAGGATTTTATTTACAGCGTAACAGATATGCAGTAGCATACGCATACACACACAGACACATACACTCTGTGGCATATCCATGGCAATAATACCATTGTTGATGACGGCAACGATGTTGGCTGTTGCTCTTGTGGCCGAGATATTGTAAACTTAACTGTGATTGTTTTGTCTCGTTCGTTGTAGTTGTTGTTGTTGCTGCTGTTATTTTTCTACGTTATATATGTTGTCTTTTGTTGGAAATTAAACAAAACAAAACTCCCCTTTTGGCTGTCTTTTGTTATGCTGATGGATGCAACACCAACAAAAAAATATGGCCAACAACAGTGGAATACTCTTTTACAACACTTGGAGAGATTGCAATAACGCCATAGTAATCCAACCACAACCGGCGTCCTTTTTCCCAAAAAAAAAAAAAAAAAAAAAAAAAACAAAACAAAAAATACAACAACAATACAATGCTACCAATACACAAACAATACACGATTTCGGCATGCTGCACAATCATAAAACCGTTGTTTGGAGAGTTGCATATTTGAGTTATACTCAAACATGTGGATAGTATATTATAGGATTACACTACAATACACAGGGATGGTGTCATCCTTGAAAATATTCTCAAAACTCAGTTTTGAATATTTCTCAATAGAAAAAAAATTAAAAAAAGGAGTATTGAAGATTTTTATCAATAGAAAAAAATTCAAAATCCGATTTTGAAGATTTTTCGCAATAGAAAAAAATTCAAAACCCGGTTTTGAAGATTTTTTTCTCAATAGAAAAAAATCAAAATCCCGAATTTGAAGATTTTTTTCTCAATAGAAGAAAATTCAAAATCCCGGTTTTGAAGATTTTTTTCTCAATAGAAAAAAATTCAAAACCCCGGCTTGGAAGATTTTTCTCAATAGAAAAAAAATTCAAAACCCCGGCTTTGGGGATTTTTCTCAATAGAAAAAAATTCAAAACCCCGGCTTTGGAGATTTTTCTCAATAGAAAAAAATTCAAAACCCCGGCTTTGGAGATTTTTCTCAATAGAAAAAAATTCAAAACCTCGGTTTTGAAGATTTTTCTCAATAGAAAAAAATCCAAAACCTCGGTTTTGAAGATTTTTCTCAATAGAAATAAAAATCCAAAACCCCGGTGTTGAAGATTTTTCTCAATAGAAAAAAAAACAAAACCTCGGTTTTGAAGATTTTTCTCAATAGAAAAAAATTCAAAACCCCGGTTTTGAAGATTTTTCTCAATAGAAAAAAAATCAAAACCCGGTTTTGAAATTTTTTCTCAATAGAACAAAAATTTAAAACTCGGTTTTGAAGATTTTTCTCAATCGAAAAAAAAATTCAAAACTCCGGTTTTGAAGATTTTTTTCAATAGAAAAAAATCAAAACTCGATTTGGAAGATTTTTCTCCATAGAAAAAAATTCAAAACACGATTTTGAAGATTTTTCTCAATAAAAAAAATTCAAAACTCGATTTTGAAATTTTTTCTCAATAGAAAAATATTCAAAACTCGATTTTAAAAATTTTTCTGAATAGAAAAAAAAATTAAAAATTCGGATTTGAAGATTTTTCTTTATAGAAAAAAAATTCAAAACCCGGTTTTGAATATTTTTCTCTATAGAAAAAAATCAAAACTTAGTATTGGGATATTTTTTAGAATCAGTCCTTTGCAACGTACTATTCCCATTTAAATTTTCCTTTATATCGAGGGCATTAACCAGTCGTCAGGATTTACATTTTAATAAATCACCAAAGCAATCAGTTTTGCATATACTCTCTGAAATTCCCATGGCTATAGTGCACTCGCACTCGCACACACACACACATACATTCTCTCACAGATTGTGCACAGCACACTTTCAGGCAAACAGAATAAAGCTTCTCCCTGCTCCCTTAATGACCATGAATTGGGAAAGCTACCAAGAATTCCAGTCACATAACACGACAAAAATTGTTTTCTTAAAACAAAACAAAAAAAAAAATAAAATAATGCAACATTTTTGTTTTTAAATAAACAAAAACTATACTTACACAAGGTTTTTAATTTTTTGTTTTCTCCTTTTTTTCAATTTCAGGTGGCTTAGCCGATGGAGGACGCATCGGTTTCAGTGACGAACGCACCAGTGGTGGCAGCATTGGAGGCGGTATTTTTACACCACCAAATGTGCCATGTCCACCCGGTATGTTTCGCTGCAACGATGGCAAGTGCATAACATCGCTGTGGGTGTGCAACTACCAGAAGGATTGTGAGGGTGGCGAGGATGAACAGCAATCGTGTCGTAAGTTGAGATTCTGTTTTGTTTTTAATTTCCTGTGAGCTTTACGTATTTCGTTACATAATTTGCTTTAATTTAATTTCTTTCGGTGCAGCACCCCCCGAATGTGAGGCCGGCCAAATAAACTGTGGCCAATATGTATTTAATAAGACCTACTGTATACCACCGCATTTCCGTTGTGATATGACCGATGATTGTGAGGATAAATCGGATGAAGCACAGTGCAGTAAGTGAATTGTTTTATTTATTTTTTTTTTCTGCATATTTATAATTGGAAATTAAATGGCAAATCAATTGATAGCTTGTTAGAGACTTCAGATTCCTGGAGGAGTCCTTAAAATAAACTTTCGTAGGCAAAAATTACTATATTATTCCCCAATATTTGGAGGTCTAAGCTTGGTAATCCCATAGTGTTTCTTATTTTCTTGTAGAGGTCTAGAAATACGAATACCGAATATTTTCCAAAAAAAAGTTTTTAGATTTGTTTTATTTTTTTTTTCTCAGATATATTTGTGTATATCGAAGGTATATAAAAATCTAAGCAGATCTCGATAAAATTTGGCAGAATTATTTTGAGCTGTATCTGATGTCCGATATCAAATATCATATTTGTCCAAGGGACTTTAGCATAAAATCGGATGCAACATATATATGTGAGCTATAGCTATATCTGAACCGATTTTCACCAAATTTGAAGAAAATATTTCTAGGCTGTATTCGGTCGGAAGTGCCAAAATATATATGAAAGCTATATCTGAACCTATCTTGATAAAATTTGTCAGAGGTATTTCTGGACTGTATCTGATATTTGCTAACAAATATCATTCTTGTGGAGTGCACATTTCGAATGAGATGGACTTAAAATCCTAAATCGAATGAAGCATATATATCGGAGCTATAGATATATCTGAACCGATTTTCACCAAATTTGAAGTACTTGGTTCTAAGGTGAATTCAGTCGGATGTGCCAAAAATTCAGGTCATTTGGACAGATATTGGCCAATTAACCCGAAATCGGACAAAGATATCAAATTTGACATTTTTTTATAAAAAAAATTTGAACCTCAGATTTGCCAACTTTTTAATAGAAACAATTTCGAACTTGATATTCTGCAGTTTTTTCTATAGAAAAAAAAATTGAAGCATGGATTTGTCGATTTTTTTCTACAGAAAAACGTTGGATCTAACATATGACGAAAATACCAACCTGACATTTTCGGCAAATTTGTCTATAAAACCAAATAATAGTTCAGGTTTGGATATCTCTTTCCTCAGAGAAAGAGACATTTTTCCACAGGGACAAAAGTACTTTTTCCCACGGAAAAAATCCGTCCTCAGGTCTCTTTTAGTAAAAATTGGTCATAATGGACTGAGGTACTATTTTATAAAATAAGTAAAAAATCTGTAAGTTCCACCATTTGAAACGAATTTGGCAATTCTCAAAAAAATAAAATTCGATATAAATTCTGTACCAAATGTAGCCGTCTTATTAGGGTCTAAACGACGACGTGGACCTATATAGGCAAATTTTGTCATAAGCCAATGAAACATTCAAATGCGAAACTTCAAAAAAAATCGGAGAATAATGTAGCCAAAATCATCAATATAGGGAGGTACTATTACATGGGGATATACCAAAATGTGGACCTGCACACACAATTTTCTGCCTTAGGCTGCAGTATCCATTACGAACTTCAAATACTAAATTTGAAACAATTCCGGTGAATAATGTCACTAAAATAATCAAAATACCAAATATCGGGAGATACCGTTACATGGGGGCTATAAGAAGACGTTGACATGCACACAAAATCCTGTCATAGGCTGCAGTATTCCACAGACAATTTTCTGTCTTGGGCTGTAGTATCCATTTTGAACTTCAACTACCAAATTTGAAACAATTCCGGTGAATAATGTGGCTAAAATCATCAAAATACCGATTATCGGGAGGTTATATGGGGGCTATACCAAAACGTGGACCTACATGGCCCATTTTCAATACTAAAAGTCCTGCAGACATAATATACATTTGAGTAAAGTCAATCTACTTCAATTCGTTCGGAAGCTAGAGTGACGACGGACGGACGTCGCTAAATCGACATAGAATTTTATATATGTATATTTCGAGGTGTTACAAACGGAATGACATACCTATTATACCCTCCATACTATGGTGGAGGGTATAAAAAGAGTTGTCCTCATGGACAGATTTTCTGTTTTTCTAAAGAAAAAAATCCGTCGTCAGGGTCAAAGATACTTTTTTGTATGGAAAATCCATCCTCAGGGACTTAGGTAACAATTTATCTTCAAGGAAAAAATCTTTCCTAATGGACTGAGTTTCTTTTTTTATAGAAAACCATGTCCTCAGGGTCAAAGGTAATTTTTTGTATGAAAAAAAAACTGTTCTTAGGGACTAAGGTATTCTATAGAAAAAAATGTATCTTTAAGGAAAAAATCTGTCCTCATGGACTGAGTTTCTTTTTGTCCATTGAAAATTTTCCTCAGGGTCAAAGGTACTTTTTTGTATGGAAAAATCTGCTCTCAGGGAGTAAAGTATTCTGTAGAAAAAATCTATCTTCAAGGAAAAAATCTGTCCTCATGGACTGAGTTTCTTTTTTCTAAAAAAAATCCATCCTTAGAGAGTAAGGTATTCTATAGAAAAAATCTGTCCTCATGGAATGAGTTTCTATTTTCTAAAGAAAAAATTCATCCTCAGGGTCAAAGGTACTTTTTTATGGCACATATCAATAAAGAATTAGTCCGACCCTTAGAATTTTTTTTATGAAAAAATTAAGTCCTCTATAATTAAGGATTTTTCAGTGCCTCACATTTTTTTCATGTAAAATCTTCCTAAAAATTCGTATTTTTGCTATTAAAGCGCTTTTTTAGTACCTAGGGAAAATTTTTTAACATGATCTTAATCCTTACCATGCTCTCCTCTCCTATTCAAGTTTTTCATTTTGTAAAATTAAAATTCTTAAATCCTCATTTTTTTTCTTCCGGGGATCTGGTATTTTCATTAACAATCTAATTTATGCGGCCCGTTGTTATGAACCAGTCGTTGGAGATGGGGGCGGGGGGGTACCATAAATTTCAGCACCAGCTGGTGTTGTTTACATCGAGTAAAAATGCAATTTTAAAATCATTCAAAATAAACCCTCTGCCCTGCCCCTCCCCTCTTACCCACACAACAACAAAACATGCAAAAGGCTAACACATTAACCCACATAAACGCAGAGAAAGAGAACACAATAGCAGCAGCAGCAGCAGCAACAACAAAAAAACCCAGCTGCCAGCCTGCTGGTGTTGTTGTTGTGCAAGGGCGGCCATAAAGGAATCCTGAATGCTGACGTGATGGCATGTAGCTAGCTCTATTTTTACACTATACGCTCGCTACAAATGAAACACTAATTGTTTGTGACATTTTTAACCCTAATACCATTAATTATTGTCACCATAAATACTTTCGCCGAGCTTAGGCAGGGGGTGAGGTGTGGTGGCCAATATTAGTGCGGCCCCATGCATATGTGTGTGTGGGAGTGCTTGAAAGGATTACAATGTTGAGAGTTTGCAAACCGAGTGTTTGTAAGTTGGTGACTGACTCCTTAAGTCCTTGTTATTTTTACACCGAAACCCATGGTGGCGGGTAAACAGTTTGCCAGTTTCTCACAGCAACAACGACAGCAAATGGGACACAAAGTCCTTAATATCGCCCTCCAAACGGCAGCTTAAACTGGTATTTAATGAAATTTTTTTACATTGGCAAATATTTGCCACAATGTTGGGCATTGGACAAAATTGTAACTGGAGGGGGCAGGGAGGGAAGTTGTGAAACAAAAACTACCACAACCGGAAATTTTTAAGTTTTGTTGGAGTCTACTCTTTTTTTTCTTTGAGCTCTTGTTGTTTTGCACTCCAATAACAAACCTCACAAATTAACTGGTAAAAACAGGAAACGGAAACAAAACTTCTTCTCGAAGGGTAAAATGTATTCGAATGTTGGCTGTAAGGTTAATTTATGAACTTAAATAAAAGTCATTTACCTTGGTGAGAAGTGAATAAGAAAATACTTTGAATTTAATCATTTTTCTAAGGAAAGCGAAACGAAATAGGAGTAAGAGAAAAAAACTTAATATTTTTTTAAAGTAAAAAATAAAAAATTATGATGAAGATATTCTGCCTGTGCCTTAGTAAGGCCACTGACCACTTTTATATAAAATGCCTCACTCCTTTAAAACTTTTTTTCAATAAAAATATGTCTCACCGGGCGCCTGATTTTTATCCAAAGAAAAAAATCTCATTTTTTTATAGGAAAAATACTTCAGAACCGAACACTAATATTTTCTTTTATAGAAAAAAATATCAAAATAAAAACAATTTTTGTAGCGAAAAATTTCTCGGTTTTTTAATATAAAAAATATGCTTTAGACCCCGGGGTCTGGTTTTTGTTAATAGAAAAAAATTCTTAGATCCGAGATCTGTTTTTTCTATACGAAAAAATACTTCAGAACCGAGTACTGATATTTTCTTTTGAAGAAAAAAAACCTCAACCCAAGAACCATTTTTTTACCGAAAAATTTCTCTTTTTCAATAAAACAAATTCCAAGTCCCTGAGGCCTATAGAAAACATTCTTCGTTTTTTTTTTTTGTGACTGGGACTGATTTGTTCAATAAAAAAATTTCTTAGGCACCCGAAAAAAATTCAGACCCGAGATCTATTTTTTTCTATAGAAAAAAAACCTCGGAATCCGAGCACTGACATTGTCTTTTGTAAAAAACATCCTGAACCCAAAAATCATTTTTTTATTGAATTATTATACTTTTTTATACCCTCCACCATAGTGTGGACTTTTGTATAGCCCCCATATAATGGTACCTCCCTATTTTCGGTATGTTGTTGATTTAAGTGACATTATTCACCGGAAATGTTTCAAATTTGGTATTTGAAGTTCGCAATGGATACTACAACCTATGACAAAAAATTATTTGTGCAGGTCCACGTCTTCGTATAGCCCCTATATAACAGTACCTTCCGATATTCGATAGTTTGATTAATTTAGCGGCATTATTCACCGGAATTGTTTCAAATTTGGTATTTGAAGTTCGTAATGAATACTACAGCCTAAGGCTGAAAATTGTCTGTGCACGTCCACGTCTTCGTATAGCCCCCTTGGTGACTCCCTATATTCGGTATGTTGATGATTTTAGCTACATTATTACCGATTT